TATATATATTTATATATATATATATATATATTAAAAAGCAGTTGTGTTTTTTTCTAAAAGATGTTTTGCATGGGGCGGCACGGTGGTGTGGTGGTTAGCACTGTCCCCTCACAGCAAGCGGGTTCCCGGTTCGATCCCGGGTGTGGGAGCCCTTCTGTGCGGAGTTTGCATGTTCTCCCCGTGTCAGCGTGGGTTCTCTCCGGGCAATCCGGCTTCCTCCCACAGTCCAAAGACATGCAGTTTGGGGATTAGGTTAATTGATAACTCTAAATTGTCCATAGATGTGAATGTGAGCGTGAATGGTTGTCTTTCTCTGCGATAGTCTGGTGAACTGTCCAGGGTGTACCCTGCCTCTCACCCAATGTCAGCTGGGATAGGCTCCAGCCCCCCCGCGACCCTCGAGAGGATGAAGCGGTTAGAAGATGGATGGATGGATGGATGTTTTGCATGTGGAAGAAAGTTATATTAAAGGTTGTTCATAAGTATATGATTGAATGTGTGCTTATGCAAAGATAGAGTAATGAAGAGCTGAATTACTTTTAAACAGTTTGTTATTTTTTATAGTGTAGAAATCATTGTTTCCATGGCACAAAAGGGGGAATAAATAACAACAAAAAAATTAAATATCAATATAAAAACACTGGTATCTGCCGAGAATTTAAAATCAGTGCATGCCTAATTATATGTCCATATTGAATCAATTTGATGCTTTGAATGAATACGTATAAGGTTAGAAAATACATCCTTTGTTCATTGTTTAAATCATGTCCTCTTCCAGTCTTGTATGTGAGCACAGACACAGAGATGGATAATTTTGTTGGCTGAAAAGACACAGATAATAGTACCTCTCTGCGGAAATAACAGCAAATATCAACTGTAGATCCTATCGTCCTATCGTACTTTTCTCTTTTTATTCTCAACTTGTTAGAATTCAAAATTCATGTCATTACAGGACAAATGATCCTCAGCTGGTGGTGTGAGCGAAGCTGATGGTCTTTGTGTTTCTGTTTGTGCAGGACATCAGTGACGGGATGCCATGGTGTGAAGAACGTCTGGTCCGCAAAGTTCTTTTCCTCTCCCTCAGGGAATTCAGAGACACCCACCGTGCCACACACAAACACTCGCACATACACACGCGTGCACACAAACGCACTTCAAAAAATACACTCTTACATGCCCAGCGAAAGACGCAGACACTTCCTGAAACACACACAGAGAAAAAAAGGCGCACAAGACAGAGTGTGCACACGCCACAACAAAGAGTCACACACAAACCACCAAACACACAGAAAAACGCACACAGTGCAAAAAATACAGACATTTCAAAACATCTCCGCCCTCACGAACACACTAACAAAGGGCAAATATCTAACTTGTCTCAGGACTCACACACACCAAAAAATAAATGTACTCAAACACCACAGAACATGCAAACACAATTAAAAATGTGTGCAGGGAAAGTTAATAACACTGTACCCCAAACACACCAACAAGAAAATACACACATGTTCCAGAATTCTGAGTCGACCAGGACACTACGCTCACATAAAACACAAAATACATTGTTGCTGTTAAACTCAAAATACACTGAAACTGCAAAACACACACACACTACTCAGAACAAACACTCTGTGAAAAACACACAGACACTGCTGAGCCCTTCTGCCCCTGCGAGGACCCTGCGCTCACATACTCCTACAAGCCTCAGTGGTCAGTACCATCAGTACTCTTCTTGTCTTCTGTCTCAGTCACAGCTGTGACGTTTCCACCAAACACTTTCAGTATGGTACCTTTGGAACCAAAAGTGACCCCCTTTAGACATTGTACGTAGAGCCTAGGTCGGTTTAGTGGTTCCACTGCAATCAGTACTCTTAAATGTGGGCAGGGTTGTTGTCACTCACTGCTCTATCCAGCACTTGCTGTATTTTCTCTTCACCAGTGATACAGAGGGTTGCATGCAAACATTTTCAAAACAAAATAGAACAGGCTGCAGGGAAAGTCTCTCTCGATGGTATATTAAAAAATGGCAGGTTTGTACAGTGAGTCCCACTCAAGCAAGTGCAGGGGTTTAGTGTTGCTAGAGCCCACAGCTGGAGTTCCGACGCTCCACAAAGCTTTTCTTTTTCTCAAAGTGAGCATTAGAATATATGTAGTTCACATAATCTGGTTGAAATCAATATATATTATAAAACGCTGGACGATCCACCCATTACTAAAGGTCTGTCATCCAAGAGAGACATAAAAACAATGGAACGGTCAAAGTTGTCATGTTGAAATTTAAAGTGTGCTGATGGATTTATGTTGGCAACCAGGGATGGGCAAAAATACATCAAAATGTATTTCCAAATAAAATACCAAATACCCAACTTATAACTGTATCAAAATAAGCTACAAAATACACAGCCACAAAATGTATCAAAATAAAATACTTTATTTTTTTATTTACCAAATATAAAATACAGTACTGTTTGTTTCACAATTTGAAAGTAAGCCCCATCTAATATTGCCGATCTCACTGTCCACTGAGTAGTACTTGTGCTTGGAGTAGGATTATCCTCTGATGCTCCCAGGGTCTGGCCATAGCTGTGGAATAAACAGATGGGCACTTTACAAACAAGATACGAGACCGATCAAAGTTTTTACATAAATAGCCTAAATTAAATTATCTAGGAGTGCAGTACACAGCAACATAATTAAGATCCTAGGAAGAGAAGCGGGAAAAACAGCAAATAGACTCAGCAAGCTCAATAATAAATGTCTAATTTTCAGAGGCCATGCAACTAATAGTAACACATAAAATGACCAATTAGTTGCCTCATGGTAAGGGCTATTGTCTCTATACCAATATGAAGAAATGTGTTATGTTTCAGGAATGCAGCACATACAAGCTTTCACCAGTTCAACTCGCCTGCTCTCCTCGTTGCAACTTCGCTCTCTCTCACTCATCTTTTCTTCACATGACATCACTGAATCTGACTTGCAAAAAAGGGAGAATGAGTTTAAGGCTACGTGCACATAGTCTGTAAATATTTAGCAAAGAGTGCAAGCTTAGTTTGGAAAATTTAAAATGAAAGGTGCATGAGAACTATAGCCTACTAGAAATGGTAAAGAATGGGGTTTTCAACCCCCTCGTTGCTGCTGCAGTACACAAGGCTAATTACCGTATTTCCTCAATCAACAACCTGGTCTCATGTAATGGCTGGGGTTGCTGTTTACATGAACAAATAAATGCCGGCCCCAAAAACAGGCTAGAATAGAATAGAGTTTTACTGCCATTTGCACAAGTACATCACAGTACAGGTGCACTGGAATTCTTGTGCGTTTCTCCGAGCACCAGTTAAAGGATAACATCGGTATTTTTCAACCTGGGCCCTATTTCCCCACGTGTATGTGTGCGTATGTTTCATAGGTACAACTCGTTTTAAAATTGGTTCAGTATTGAGGGAGGCGGATGCAGCCGGCAGCCGCGAAACTAGCTAAAACAGTAACGGGGGCAAATGCGTCCCTTATAAGTTTGCGCATTAAAAGTGCTTTTTTTCGCCATTGACCGGTTCAGATCGCCAGTGCTATCTCTGTAAATAGCATACTAAGCGTTTCCCTTACCTTTGGGCTGTGTGACGTCATCTCGTGAGAGCTTTGCTTGTTGCCGGAAGAAAACAGAGCCATGCTGAGCGCCGCTCAGAGTGGCGCTGGTTGTCCCGGAGTACAGTTGAGAGTTTTACTGCATCGATTGAAAATAATGGTTTTTGTTTGTGCTTATCCTAATTGCAAGAACAGGATGTCGCGCAACACCCCGTACAGCTTTCATAGGCTGCCTTTGTGGCTTGTTGTGCTACTAATGGATGCTAACACTCCTGTCCAGACACTGCGCCTTGCAGACCATCGGGTCTGCAGTGCAACTTCTCCCAAGATGACTACTGCCAGCCGAAGAAGAGAAGACATCCAATCCCGAAACACCTCTTCCTCAAGAAAATGGCTGCCCCACGAGTAGAGAGAGCTACAGACACAGTGGAGCAAAGCTCTCGCGAGATGATGTCACACAGCCCAGAGGTAAGGGAAACGCTTAGTATGCTATTTACAGAGATAGCACTGGCGATCTGAACCGGTCAGTGGCGGAAAAAAAGCACTTTTAATGCGCAAACTTATACGGGACGCATTTGCCCCCGTTACCGTTTTAGCTTGTTTTGCGGCTCTCGGTTGCATCCGCCTCCCTCAATACTGAACCAATTTTAAAACGAGTTGTACCTTTGAATTTTATGCACACATACACATGGGGAAATAGGGCCCAGGTTGAAAAATACCGGAGTTATCCTTTAAAAATAAAAGACACAAAGGTCAATAAAGAAAACACACTAAATCACATAACAAACAAGTACCAAAAGCAAATAAATAACAGTAATAATGCAGTAAATAAATAAAAGGCACATTATGAATATTGCACATTATTGTTATAAGGGGTTATTGCACAATGTCCTTATGTGATGTAGGCCTATATAGTGTGAAAAAGAGTTATTGCACATTGTCCTTATGTGGTGTGTATAGTGTGAAAAGAGTTATGGTGTAAGATAACTTCTCCCCTCTGAGGCAAAAATAATAATAATAGCCTAATAATCCGCCATCTGGGACAAACTGGACAAGGATATCAGAAACTCTTTAAAAGTTTGTGGACTGTGTGTGAAAACTGACGGGAGTTTAGACCCTCATCCTCCGCTTCAGAGAGAGACGGCAGGTCGCTCCGTCCGGAGCCCAGTTGGGACCGGTGCCAGACCGCAGTGCACGCTGTGGAAATGTTCTGACTGATTTGCATAGTAGTGAAGTGCTCCGGTGTGCGCAATGGAGACGGAACCGCGTGGAGACCGAGCGCAGCGAGGAGAACAGGTGCCAAGCAGCACATGAGGAAGATGAAGATGAGCTACTTAATGATGAGCTTGTTGTTGCATATGGTCGCCAATGTGACCATATGCAACAACGGAAATCAAGCACAAAGTGACGAGCTAACATTAACTTAACAGTGAAAGTTAGCAGCTAATATTCACGGTTTAAATGACCTAGCATCAACAAACAACACTAACATTACACTGAAAAGGAACTTGTCAAGAACGCAAACGATTCATGGTTAAGAGAAATAATATTAGAAATAAACTAGCAACATTAAACCACTCACCTTCACCTGGGTCGACGTCCTCGACGGTCAGAGCTCAACAGGTCCGGGCAAGCCCAATTAGCCTACCTCCGAACACCAAGGCAATTTCTATGCAGTTAAATCTACAGCAGCACCTAGTGTTCTTATGGTGTTATTAGCCTATAGGCCCACATTGTCTCAAAGAAAGTATTTTATTGTATTTTGAAAATACAAAAATACATGACACTGAAGTATTTTGATACAAAATATCAATGCATTTTCATCACTGCAATAAAATACAAATTACAAAATATTATTTTGTGTTTGAAATACGTATTTTAAATACATGTATTGGAAAAACTGCCTATCCCTGTTGGCAACTTATGCACTGAGTAACATTACAAGTAAATGTTCCACATTAAAAGTTGCCAGCAGTTGGCCTTGTGAATTAAGTCATTTTTTCCTCAGTCTATAGCTGCTGCAAGAGGCAGTAAAACATCCTTTGACCAATCAGTGGACTGCAGTGTTTCTAGCTCCACCTTTTAGTACCAGATTTGTGTAGGCCTACTAGGTGAGGACAGTAAGGAATGGTTCCATTGGTACCATCCACAGCTTTTCACAGTGGAAACAAAAAACAAACAAAAAAAAAATGCATACTGAACTGAACTGAACCATACCAGACTGCTTGGTGGAAACGGAGCTTTCGTGATTCAGTAGTTTAGTAGAATATTTCAAGCATATCTTTTACTGTTCTTGTTATAGTTTTGTTCACAGCGCTTTGATTTCTATGACACTGTAGGTGGAGATCAGTTCTTAAAATAGTAAAAGTGCTTCTTGTAAGTAACTAAAGTTGTAACTGTTCTCTGTAGGTTCCCTGGTTAATGGCATCAGCCAGTGTCAGTCCCTCCTGTCAGCTAGTCCAAGCTGGAGCTGGTCCTTACAGACACGCCCTCAACAGCGCTGCCCTGCTAGTATACATCGTCACAAGGTTGACCCTGCCAGCAAGAGGTCAGCTGCTCTAGTGTGTGTTTGTGCATATGTGTTTGCATGTTCAGTGTGTATGACTCACCTATAAGTAGTTGAAAAAAAGGTGTGCTGTGCTGCCACCTACCCCACACTGGCAAAAGTAATCCACTTGTCACATGTAAAGCACTTTTTTTTTTTTTTAGGTCTTTTTTGGGCCATTTTTTAGCCTTTATTTGACAGGACAGACAAGCGTGAAAAGGGGAGAGAGAGAGGGAGTGACATGCAGCAAAGGGCCACAGGCTGGACTCGAACCCGGGCTGCTGCGGCAACAGCCTTGTACATGGGGCGCCTGCTCTACCACTAAGCCACCAATGCCCCGACCTGTAAAGCAGATCTATATTAAATAATGCCATTAATGTAATCACAGTCTAGTGTTTACATGGGCTCACTTTTAATACTATGTCCTTGCTTTGCTATACCTGAATATGCTATACAGAGTCCAATCATGGATGTATAAAGAGAACTGGATACAACATTGAAAGTTGCTCAGTGGTGCATTAGGGGGAAAAAAAGCTTATTTTCATGGTATGTAATTGCTATAGATATATTATAATAAGGGGTTTAACACATATTTGAACTGAACCATTTGGTATCAGGCTTTCAGCTCGATATGCATTACAAATCGAAAGATTTGTTGAACTATCCTATTACATTTGGGAAATAAAACATACAGTTAACACTGTGTTTAATATAATGATCTCAGTACCACTGGGCACAACAAGGCAGCCCACAGGATGGAACAGGCAACATGCTGTCTGCCCCTCCCACCCCTAAACCAGAACATTCTATTCAACTGAGACACGCTGGGAGGCAGGTACACTAAGCTAGCTCACTGCAGGATGGGTAATAATGACATTACCAGAGCAGAGACAGAAGATCCTCCGCTAACCTACAGGCTGTGAATTATAAGGGGTATAGAGAGAGACAGTGATGGATAAAAGCCCACTGTACCAAAGAAAGAGCTGCTGCACAGCTACAGACTCTCCTTGGCAGCTAAACCAGTGGCACAGTAACATACGTGACCCCTGTGCCGAAACTCGAGCTGCTGCACGATAACAGACTCTCATTAACAGCTAATCCAGTAGCACCCACAGCAGCTTACATTAGCCCAAACCACACACCCACAACAGGCCGGGTAGCTGATTTGGCTAGAAAGACTGAAAGGTTTGTTAGTGACAGCTGTATATCTGTTTATATGATTGTGGCATTTAACAGAGATGTTTATTAATGTATTTATTTGACTGAAAGAGCTCAGAGAGCTCATGGGAAGTAGCAAATTCGCCGGTTACATACAGGGGTGACACTATACTGATATTATGTGCTGTCAGTAATGTCAGTAATAATAGTAATATGGATAAATATGGATCACCAGCTCTCAGCTTCAACAAAAGCTTTGTAACTTTGTCCTACATGTCTTGTTTTGCTTGTATAGTTTGTTTAGTGGGGGTGTGTCCTTGCGTATCATTCTGTGCCCCCTCTCTAAAGTCTGTGCAGTCAGCGCAGGTAGAGCTCTCCATGAGCTTTTTTTTTCTCAGCAGCAGTTTGTGACTCGTGATGGAGAGAAGCAGTTGCTGCAAATGAATGCAAACTTTTAGACCCAGCAGAATGAAAGCTTAAATTTCAATTTCAATGCATCTGATGATCTGCTTCTCCATCCAGCCACAAGTGCACTCTACAGTCTGACAGTGTGGTGCTATAAATGACCAAACATGTTTATATATTTCAGTAGTGCTCCTGATAAACGGTCCAGCTCCAAAAATAGAAAATCTTTTTTGTGGCGGCAGATGTTTTAATCATGGCAGGCTGCCACAAATAAATCAATGTGTGAGCAATCCTGAAATACATAAAGTAACATTAGAATCATAGACTTACTGACTGTTATATATTAGACTGCAATAGTTTCACATGTATGTACCTCATGAACTTGCAACTGCCTGCATGTGAATATGTGTGTGTGTGTATGTGTATGTGTGTTTGTGTGTGCGTGCATAGACCAAAGGTGCAAGCGCAGAGGAAGTTTGCCCAGTCCCCTCCCAGCTCCCCAGGATCTCCTGTGTTGATGACACCAGCACAAAGTAATCACAGCCACAACTTGGCCATGGTCACTTGTCTGACAAGACGCCGACCCAAGACTGAGGACTTCTTGTCTTTTCTTTGTCTGAGGGGTAAAATTTAAGCACACAAGCCACCCAAACATGAAAGGTAGTGGTCTGAACTGAGGTTGGTCACAGAGTCAGTGCCAAGAGCTCAGCTGCATATCATGATATACACACTACTACATAAGAGCTGTTCAATTAATGCTGAAGAAACACCAGTCTACCATTAGGGTTACACACACACATACAGTACAGGCCAAAAGTTTGGACACACCTTCTCATTCAATGCGTTTTCTTTATTTTCATGACTATTTACATTGTAGATTCTCACTGAAGGCATCAAAACTATGAATGAACACATGTGGAGTTATGTACTTAACAAAAAAAGGTGAAATAACTGAAAACATGTTTTATATTCTAGTTTCTTCAAAATAGCCACCCTTTGCTATGATTACTGCTTTGCACACTCTTGGCATTCTCTCGATGAGCTTCAAGAGGTAGTCACCTGAAATGGTTTTCCAACAGTCTTGAAGGAGTTCCCAGAGGTGTTTAGCACTTGTTGGCCCCTTTGCCTTCACTCTGCGGTCCAGCTCACCCCAAACCATCTCGATTGGGTTCAGGTCCGGTGACTGTGGAGGCCAGGTCATCTGCCGCAGCACTCCATCACTCTCCTTCTTGGTCAAATAGCCCTTACGCAGCCTGGAGGTGTGTTTGGGGTCATTGTCCTGTTGAAAAATAAATGATCGTCCAACTAAACGCAAACCGGATGGGATGGCATGTCGCTGCAGGATGCTGTGGTAGCCATGCTGGTTCAGTGTGCCTTCAATTTTGAATAAATCCCCAACAGTGTCACCAGCAAAACACCCCCACACCATCACACCTCCTCCTCCATGCTTCACAGTGGGAACCAGGCATGTGGAATCCATCCGTTCACCTTTTCTGCGTCTCACAAAGACACGGCGGTTGGAACCAAAGATCTCAAATTTGGACTCATCAGACCAAAGCACAGATTTCCACTGGTCTAATGTCCATTCCTTGTGTTTCTTGGCCCAAACAAATCTCTTCTGCTTGTTGCCTCTCCTTAGCAGTGGTTTCCTAGCAGCTATTTGACCATGAAGGCCTGATTGGCGCAGTCTCCTCTTAACAGTTGTTCTAGAGATGGGTCTGCTGCTAGAACTCTGTGTGGCATTCATCTGGTCTCTGATCTGAGCTGCTGTTAACTTGCGATTTCTGAGGCTGGTGACTCGGATGAACTTATCCTCAGAAGCAGAGGTGACTCTTGGTCTTCCTTTCCTGGGTCGGTCCTCATGTGTGCCAGTTTCGTTGTAGCGCTTGATGGTTTTTGCAACTCCACTTGGGGACACATTTAAAGTTTTTGCAATTTTCTGGACTGATTGACCTTCATTTCTTAAAGTAATGATGGCCACTGGATTTTCTTCTGATTGGTTCTTGCCATAATATGAATTTTAACAGTTGTCCAATAGGGCTGTCGGCTGTGTATTAACCTGACTTCTGCACAACACAACTGATGGTCCCAACCCCATTGATAAAGCAAGAAATTCCACTAATTAACCCTGATAAGGCACACCTGTGAAGTGGAAACCATTTTAGGTGACTACCTCTTGAAGCTCATGGAGAGAATGCCAAGAGTGTGCAAAGCAGTAATCAGAGCAAAGGGTGGCTATTTTGAAGAAACTAGAATATAAAACATGTTTTCAGTTATTTCACCTTTTTTTTTTGTTAAGTACATAACTCCACATGTGTTCATTCATAGTTTTGATGCCTTGAGTGAGAATCTACAATGTAAATAGTCATGAAAATAAAGAAAACGCATTGAATGAGAAGGTGTGTCCAAACTTTTGGCCTGTACTATATATATATATATATATATATATATATATATATAATTAGCTTGCTAATTTGTAGTAGTAGTATTGTGTATTTCAGTACCACAATACTGTAAACGAGGTTTAATGTGATGGAGTCAAAATCACAAAAAGCCCATTGTAAGGAAAATTCCTCTCTCTGAAGTGATGGACTCGATGTGAGGAATCAAGTCTCTTTAATGCATGCAGCATGGAGAGAAAACCCAAGTGTTCTCTGCCAACTTTCAGAATATACAGACTTTTAAACCATACTGAAGCTCTGACCCCAGCTTTGTACCTCCCAGCTGCACTCATAAAGGAGATTATCCCCCATAAAACAGATTTACCAATACAGGACATCCCCCCCCCCACCAAAGGAAAGGTCATGACTCTGAGATATAGGAAATTACCCCCAATACAGACTCCTGAATAACTGCCCACATCATTCATATCACTGGTTTTCACAATATGCAAATTGTGGCATCCATCATGGTGGTATTAATTGTCCAGAAGGCTTTTTTGTAGAGTGCATTGAGTTGTAGATGTCTGTCAGTCTTAAAGTCAGTCAGACTCAAGGTGTGAGGGAATGGCCTGTCAAATATTTCTGTCTTTCAGCTGTTAATTATAGCCTCACCAAAAGGCTGATTGGGATCAAATTTGTTGGGAAGCATCATTTCCAGTTATGGTGCCAAGTTTCATATCTCTAGTTCTTTCCAGCTCATGGGAATTAAAGCCGAAGTGGCTGACGACATATGATAATAATGATAAAAACAAACCGGCATAAACTCAAAAGGATTCTGCCATGGAGGCTTCAACCCTAATAAAGTGACACAGACTCAGTTGTTCTGCCTCTTCAGGGCTTGAATCCTAAATATAGCCACAAGTGGCAATCCCAGGTTTAAGCCCTATGTCAGCCAACAGCTCAGTTGCAAAAATCAAAGCCACAAGCAGCAGCTAGCAGGTTTCAGGCTTTACAATACTGATAAAAGTCACTTCAGCTGGTTCAATTTTGGCTAAAGAAGGAGTGAGACCAATACCACACTTTTTTCATCATTAAAATGTATGCAGAGTTTAAAAAACTGCACACTACAAGTCCTGCAATTTTGCCCTTCTTTAACAGATGTGCATAAAACTTGAATTTAGTGAAAGATGTCTTCACTGAGTTTAATCAGGATTGCTCTTAAATAGCTTGAGTTGTGGCCTTAATCCTGGTAAGCCTTAACCTTTGCAAAGACTTTTTGATTGATTTTGGCCATGTTTTGACCACCTTTTAATAGAATTGTGTAGTTCCATCCCATAATGCTGCCAAACAAATTTGGTGTTGAAACAGTCAAAATCAAAAAAGTACATGTCATATTACTGTTTTTTACATCATGCAAATTAGTAAAAATCCATGATGGTGGCCATAGGTGCCTGAGCAATGGAGCACGTGGAGCAAACGCATTCCTGTTATTCAATTAAGGGGTTCAGAGTAATGGTTTTGCTACCCCATTTTTTTTTTGTCTTTTTAAGAATAAAATTATCATACAGTCCCTGCAATCAGGTGATAATATTTAAGCAGCCTATATCAATAACAATTTTACTATTTTCAACTGACAATAACAAATAGCAAGGACATTACACACTATTGGACCACCCTTTGAGTTGGCTCAGTCCAAACTGTCACTGATCGCAGAGCTGATTGACTGATTGAGGCAGCGCAGTGAGAGAGGCAGATAGACAGAGCGGAGCATTACATCGCAACGCCAAAGTGTCTGAATTAACAGTCAGATGTTCAGCAGTGGAAAGTGATTTCTTTAGACTTGTACGGACTACTTTGTTTTAATTTCAGTATTGTAAGACTTTGGAAGGAATTATTTATAAATATGAGAACATATTGTTCTGTGTCTCTCCCTTCATCCTGTGCCGTTCTTTTATTGTTATGAGGGGCAGATTTAGTGATTAGGGGGCAAAGGACCTCAGGCAAACGCTGTCTTTCTGTTCTGCATTCAAAAGAAGTATTATTAGCACAATGTGTTTGAACAAAAGTCTGTTCAAGGCTGAGCTTTTAATTCTAATATAGCCTAATGATGGATCATTTGATTAATTATAATGCATCATATTTTAATTGTTACATTTTGCAGACCCACCGCTAATAATGTGTCTTTCTAACTTTGCTTTCCTATTTTAAAACATAATCAGATGTCCATGATGTTGGCCTTAATTGTCCAAGAGGCTTTTTGTAGAAGACATTGTGATGAAGTTGAGTGTCACCTATCTAGGCATGGAATATTGTGAAAATCTGGGAATAAATTCCTTACCAAAAAATTTCTTCACTAATGTGTTTGTAAAGGTGTCTAATAAACACATATAAAAGATTTAAGTTCAACTCCCATAGGAAAATCCGTGACAGCTGCTGAAAGTTGGGGTACCAGGAACCTTATCGGTGAAAAATTGAAAATGTTAACCTCTACCTTGAGTAGCTTGTGAGGGGTCAAACTAGGGGTTTTTCAAGATTCTGAATTGACTGCAAGCATTTGTTTTGCACCATAACCACAGGGGCCCCGTCTGATTTTATGTGTAAATTTTAAAAGTAGCTTTATTCATTTATTTCAGTATCTCTAGTTAGAAAACAATACTGCTCTATAATGTCAAATGTCCCAGGAGTCTAGGTCTGAGTCATTATGGATACAGTTCTTGCATGTAATGCCTCTACAAGTTCTGCATGCTGAGATACACTTGACACCATTCTTCTTGCAGCTGCACTACCGGTTGCTGCAATCTCTATTACAATTACAGTTTGTGAACTGGAGCAGCTACTCTGGGGTCTAGTGTTGGAACTGACTCATAACCATGAAATCTACCATTCATCTATAGTTCCTGGGGTCCAAAGACATACTCTGAAGAAGCATTCAGTCCTGGGTTTAGAGCTAGGCATGGAGAGAATGCTGTGCAGGTGCAAAGTAGAGTTTCTCTTTTGATCAGCCCGGCCGCTGCCTTCCGCAAAAACATGTTGTATCGAGTTGCACCCAAAGTTGTACCTGGTGCATGGTATATGCACTGGAAAACTGCCATACCAGCCCTGATCAGTGTGTCCTTAGTAGCCTGTACCTCAAGGAGAGCCACTCGGAAGTTGTCAAAATCCGGCACTTGGGCAGTGACTTGCGACGTCAGAAACCAACAAAAAAAGGCATCTTTTACCGTCGGCATGATACGCAGCCTGTCATCATTATAGTTTAATGGCACCCAGTGGTGTCAGGGGGAAACCTGGCGGGACAAGGACGAAAGTTAAGGCGGCTTAAGTCCAGGTAGCGCAGGCAGGAGGGGTGGTGGATGGGTACAACAAACACCGACTTTCACCCAAGAGAGCAGTGTTCGCGTCCTGTAAGATTCTAAAGCCAAAACCTGTTCTTTTTTTCCTAAACCTGAAAAAAACAGAAGTTTATCTTGAAAGAAGACAAAGCATGTAACAGGCAGAACTTGACACAATGTCCCAGAACGTCAACAACCAGCGCATCCAGGGAACCTTGCACATCATACGTGGACCAAAAGTCAATATGTGACGAGGTCGGAGTGAGAATGTGTTGCAAAGGAAGATGTCAATGTGCTCATCAGTGTCTCCTGCACAAAACCTGTCAAATAGAGTTAATTTCCCAATGGTCCCAGATTGCAGAAATCATATCACAACCGGTGAAGGCATGAGAAAAAAGCAGGTAGTTCCTCTGTCTTTCAGAGAGAGCTTTTGGATCTTCCTGACCTTGTAAGAGCCCTTCGACAAGGTTCAGAGGAGTAGATGATCGATGTTTGAGCTATGGTGCACCAGCATTATTAGCACATCTGTATCTTCTGCCCGCACCTGGAAATAGAACTACATATGTGCAAAGTGTCTAAAACTGTGCCAAACACTGCCGATTCAAACCTTGTTCATTTTCTGATCTTTGTTGCTGAACAAGGACAAGGGGAAGGGAGTAGAAGTAAGCTCATACTCTATGCTTGTCTCGACTGTCATATCCCTTTGGGCGAAGATTATCAGTCAGTTGAACAACTTGAGTGAGTTTAGGTGAATGTTCTTGTCACTGACCTTTCATTGAATTTTTCTGAGCGATGACAGAGCCTGTACCTTGAACTTCACCTCCATGGTCTATGTCACTGACTGTCCACCCAGCTTTATCTGCATCTCCCTCCCTACTTCAGCCGCTCTCTCAACGTTGACTGCGTCTTCTGCAGTGCTCATGGAAGCTGCTGAGAAGGAAACAAGCAACTGCTTTTCTCGATCGTGGTTGAAGGGGTTGTTCTCCTCAAACCATTTGTGGGCAAGTTCAACAAGGTCTTTGTGGAGTGGCCCATGTTTCCTGACACCTTCCTCCATATGCTAGTTGACATTGGAAAAGTGGTTGAGGTTCTGCATCCAGTACTTGTGGCCAAAATCACTATTTCTCATCTTCCCTCTGCTCAACTCATCCTCTGACTTGGCCACCTTCACCAGTGTTTGCTTGATATATATTATATTATTCATCTATGCATATTATCAATGTTGCAACATGAAATATTTCCAGTTGTAAAAGAAATGTAGATGATAGAATGGTATTGCTATTTGATGTGTGGAGTGTATTGTGTCAGGCTATGATCCACACAATGGTTTGAGCATATCTGGCACCTGCTACTCCAAATTTACTCACTCACTGCGAATGCCAACCAACTACAGCAGTTACCAGTAAACAAACAAACAAGTACTTACCATGACAAATGAATGGATAGATAAACCCACAAAGCTACTTTTCCAATTTACATGCACCCAGTTATATTTATTTCACCAAAAAAAGGGAGTCGTGATGAGTGGGGAAAAGTGGGCATGGCCCTTTTTTCCACCAAGGAGTAGTTTTGGTGCACAAATGCTTGCAATCAATTCAGAATCCTGAAAAACCCCAAGTTTTACCCCTCACAAGCTATTGAAGGCAGAGGTAAACATTTTCAATTTTTCACTGATAAGGTCCGGGTTATTAGACACTTTTACAAACACACTGGTGAATCATTTTTTTGGTAAGGAATTTATTCCCAGATTGGCCAAATATCTGATAATATTCCCTGACTATTTAAATCAATCAGACTCATGGTGTGAGGGGCCTGGCCTTTCCAAATTAGTACTTTTTCGGCTGTTACTTATTGTGCCACCATCAGGCCAATGGAGTCAAATTTGGTGTGAAACAATAGGACATCATTTACAGTTATGGTGCAAATATTTTAATGACTCTAGCTCGTGCCAGCTCATTGCAAATTGAGCAAATGCATAATATCGCTTATAATGCTACACAGGTCTTCAGGATTTAAACCCTAATAATAATAATAATAATAATAATACACTGGCACAAACCCAATAGGGTGCTTCAGGCCCTTTCACGGCTTGAAGCCTAAACACAGCTGCATAAGAATCCTACAGTTCTTTGTGGTAGCCATATTGTATCTTCTACAGATTAAATTAAGGCACTTTCTCTTTCACTTCAGGTTCAGCAGCATTGCCTAGCAGCATGGCCTTCTTAGCAAGTGGACAAGCAAAGGAGCCAGCTGGCACTCAGCATCTCACTTCCTGTCTTTCCACCAATCACAGGACTGCAACTAAGGGGAAGAACATGAGCATATTCAGCAGATCAACAGGTACTTATCCACTGACCTGTCTGTGCATCTCCCTGTTAAGAGGGGATTTTGGTGCAGGGGGGTATTTATTTACTTACATACAGTCATGACTGTCTTTGTGAGTGTGTTATGTCTGTTAATACTCTAAAGGCAGAAACATGGGCACGTGAACGTAAATAAAAATACCTGGTGCAGCTGGTGCTGGATACACTCATCATGCGTCTTACACACTGGTGTAGGCAACACATGTCAGTCCTTAAGGAGGCGATATAGAGCTGATCAGAGTGTTGCCATGACCACAGTAGTAAACAAACATGGCGTCTGTGGGGAATGTGTACTGCTGTACTTAATGCACAATAGGAAATAGAGATGAAAACAAAGGATGGAAATGTTGATTATTATTCAATGTTATATCAGTAAAAAGCATGTCATGAAATTCCAAGTAATGGATTTGATTAAAGTGAACAGCTGGAATATCATTAGCATTAGTTTCCCAGGGAGCAAAAAAGTCATGTGAATAAAATTTGTATTCACTGTGTTAAACATCCCTGTTGAATATACATTTTCAGCTTTGTTTTCAAGCTGCTGCTAGCAGCAATGCCACATATAATCCTGCTGTGACATATTTATAAAGACACCTCTACTCACCTTTCCATTGGACTGTGCTGGATGCTGTCAGCTAACCCAAAAAATAGTCAAAAGTGAAAGCAGAATCTCTAGCTTCTATCCAAAATAAGAGGATGAGCGAATCATCAACTAGCTGGCCACAGTAGCCTCCCACATTCCTGGGAATGACGCCACCCTTCTCTGATGCTGGAGCTGCCGGTTGTCTCACCGTCCCGTTAGGAACCTCCCTGGCCCAGGCCTGATTCTAACCCCGGACAAAGAATTGTTCCAAGCCCGCTCCTTCAGAGCCCTGGATGGTCATCCAGCATGAGACAAGACGAGGTAGGAACCCCTCCCATACTCCTCCATCTGGGTCTATACAGCATGGCAACAGGTTGGAGGTCTTGGAGACACTGGAGCAACTCTGGGACGCTGACATCCGGACCTGGGTGCTTTCGGCGAGTCCAGTGCAGCCTCTTCCAAGAACAAGTGGAGGCCCTCAGCCTGTAGCTCCTGGTCTCTTTGAACTGCACCAGCAGTCCTCCTCCAGGGTAACCAGCTCCAAGCCCACAAGTCAGCCACAACATCAGCTCACATCTTTGGTTACAGGACCTATAGGAATGTCAGGAATCTTAAAAAAACACACACACAGTTTCTCGGGTGCCACTATCCGTGACATAGCTGACAAAGCTATCAAGGTTCTAGCTAACTATTAAAAACTGATTTAATCCACTTGTTCTCCATGCTGAAAAGATTCATGATTGACATCTACAGTCAGGTCCATAATTATTTGGACAATGATACAGTTGTCGTCATTTTGGCTCTGTACACCACCACAATGGGTTTTAAATGAAACAATGATTACCTGCTTAAAGTGCAGACTCTCAGCTTTCATTTAAGGCTTTTTTCAAAAATGTAGTATGAACCGTGTAGGAATTACAACCATTTCTTCACACAGTCCCCCGACTTTAAGGGCTCATAAGTATTTGAACAAATTAACATAATCATCAATTAAACAGTCAGTTTTAATACTTGGTTGCAAATCCTTTGCAGTCAATGACTGCCTGAAGTGTTGGACACATAGGCATCATCAGATGCTGGGTTTCTTCCCTGGTGATGCTCTGCCAGCCCTTTACTGCAGCCTTCTGCACTTCCTGCTTGTGTTTTGGGTGTTTTGCCCTCAGTTTTGGCTTCAGGAAGAGAAACACGCGCTCAATTGGATTCAGGTCAGATGATATGACTTGGCCATTGCAGAACATTCCACTTCTTTGCCTTAAAAATGTCTTTGGTTGCTTTTGCAGTATGCTTCAGGTCATTGTCCAACTGCACTGTGAAGCATCGTCCAATGAGTTTTGAAGCATTTGGTTGAATCTGAGCAGATAATGTAGCCCCAAACACTTCAGCTTTCATCCTGCTGCTCTTGTAAGCAGTCACATCATCAATAAATACAAGAGAACCAGTTCCACTGGCAGCCATACATGGCCATGACATAACAGTACCTCCACCATGCTTCACTGATGAGGTGGTGTGCTTTGGATCATGAGCAGTTCCTTCCCTTCTTCCTTCTCTTGTCTTCCCATCATTCTGGTAGTTGATCTTTGTTTTATCTGTCCATAGTATGCTGTTCCACAACTGTACAGGCTTTTTTGATGGTTTTTGACAAACTCTAATCTCCATTTTTAAGGCTAACCAATGGTTTGCATCTTGTGATAAACCCTCTGTATTTATTCTAGTGAAGTCTTGTCTTGCTTACAAGAGCAGCAGGATGAAAGCTGAAGTGTTTGGGGCACCATTACCTGCTCAGATTCAACTAAATGCTTCAAAACTCATTGGACGATGCTTCACAGTGCAGATGGACATTGACCTGAAGCATACTGCAAAAGCAACCAAAGACATTTTTAAGGCAAAGAAGTGGAATGTTTTGCAATGGCCAAGTCATATTATCTGACCTGAATCCAATTGAGCATGCGTTTCTCTTGCTGAAGCCAAAACTGAGGGCAAAACACCCAAAACACAAGCAGGAAGCGCAGACGGCTGCAGTAAAGGGCTGGCAGAGCATCACCAGGGAAGAAACCCAGCATCTGATGATGCCTATGTGTCCAACACTTCAGGCAGTCATTGACTGTAAAGGATTTGCAACCAAGTATTAAAACTGACTGTTTAATTGATGATTATGTTAGTTTGTCCAAATACTTATGAGCCCTTAAAGTTGGGGGACTGTGTGAAGAAATGGTTGTAATTCATACACGGTTCATACTACATTTTTGAAAAAAGCCTTAAATGAAAGCTGAGAGTCTGCACTTTAAGCAGGTATTCATTGTTTCATTTAAAACCCATTGTGGTGGTGTACAGAGCCAAAATGATGACAACTGTATCATTGTCCATATAATTATGGACCTGACTGTATGTATCTGGTCCCATCCCCATCTGTAGCAGCTGTAGTGGGTGTTTGTTTCAGCAGGCTGCTGTTGCTGCACACCTGGCTCTAAGCAGGTGTTTCATTCATTGACATTTTCAACCTCTTTTGGGAATGCAGGCAGTTATTTAGGAGGGATGTCATTCATCCAGACTGGCTAGGTGCAAAAGTACTGTCTGGAATGGTTTCATATTGTGTCTGCAACACACCACCCGGTCCAATTGCAACATTGACAGTCTCATTTGGACATCACCATCCCTCAGATCTGGACAGTGCTCCCCCTGTCTGCCAGCTCCAGTCTCTACAATCCCAGTAATCTATGACAACAGATCCTACTGCCCCAGAAGGGCTCAGGGGGGAGTTACCTGCAATCGCCATCACTTTAGAGGGAAATCCGCTCACCTGCCCTCAAATCTGAATATTACATGCAAAGAAACGGGCCTTGTAAATGTAAGGTTGTTTTACAACAAATCTATCTTAACCCTGTCATCCCAAATTTTTCCCAGACATAAAAATATCCAAATCATCTGTCACTGATAACCCTTTGAAATAATCAATCATTATTTCTATCGATCATTATTGACCAAATTAACATAACCTAGGGCTGGGCGATATAACGACTATGTACAATATATCAATGGATATAAATTATTTATATAAATTAATATAAATTTAGACAACACCGTTTATATTGATATAGGGTCAAGTTGCATTACATACAGTAGGCATACCACTGTGCATCTCTCCTCTCTCACACTTTCTGCACAGCTCCACACTCATTCACTCACTCACTCAAACCACTCAACTTCTACACATGGACTGAAAAATGTATCACACACCTCAAACACATCTTCCTTAATAATACACTGGTTTCATTCCACTATTTGGTCCAGAAGAATGGCATCGGGTGAAACCGATTTCTAGAGTATCTGCAGCTTAAATCGGCCATTCAGGCAAAATTTAGCACCTCAATCAATAACTTGGATCTCCCCTCCTCAACCTCAGTGTTAACTAACATTTCTTAAAAAACTTCTATCTAAAATATATAGGCTAATATCCAATTCAGACACAACGCTATCATTACCAATAATAAAATGAGAACAAGATCTATCAATCTCTCCTGATGCCAGCTTCTGGATTCAAATTTGCAAAAACATCTACTTCATGACAAAAAATGCCAACTTACAGGCCCGGACTGGCCCACGGGAGAACCGGGGAGTTCCCCGGTGGCCTGGCCCGCAAGTGGTCTGCTCTGGCCTGCCTGTCTATTTTTTTTAGGGACCGAGCCCTAAGGCAGAGGACTGCTCACCTATTGTTTTTGCTCCGTTTATTATTATTAGGGACCGAGCCTACAGGCAGAGGACTGCTCACAGAGCAGTCCTCGCAAAGATGAGGACCCTATTGTTTTTGGTGTGTTTATTAGGGACCGAGCCCTAAGGCACCCTATTGTTTTTGCTGCGTTTATTATTATTCTTCTTCTTTATTCTTTATTCTTTATTAGGGACCGAGCCCGAAGGCAGAGGACTGCTCACCTATTGTTTTTGGTGCGTTTATTATTATTCTTTCTCCCGCCGCCTCTTTGAACTGGAATTTGACCCCCTAAACATGCTCAAAAACTCACCAAAATTGGCACGCACATCAGAACCTTTGAAAAATTTTAGAAAATCATGACATTAACCCCTAATGTGCCAAAATGGGCTCTCTAGTGCCACCTAGGCACACAAAAATGGCTGCTATGGCCTGTAGGAATGTCGTAGAAACATGAAACCAAAAGTGGCGTGTTCGTCTCATGAAGGCCTAAAAATCACGTGCTGACACCCCTGACCTAAATCCAACAGGAAGTGAGCTATTTGCCCTTTCAAAGTAAGATTTTGCCTTAAAACTGCCTTTCCTAAAAAATCTTCTTCTCATACACCGCTTATCCAATCGGCTTCAAACTTGCACAGATGACAGATCAACTCGTTCTAATCAAAAGTTATTCGTAACTTTTTCATTACTC